TGGCCTTGGTGTGGCTGCTGCAGCTCTGCTACCACAAGCAGTCCAAAAACCTGTTTCTTCTATCTGGCAAATGTGGCCTTAGCTATCTTTCCTAATTGGGCTAAGACCTTTAAAATGAAACAATTATCGTCCTGCCTTAAAAACCAAACCACACATATTAAAAAGACATGCAGCCATTTCGAACAACATCTCAATAAAAACTACTTCTTAAATGAGGATGGGAGAAGTAAGCAAACTAATGACAATTCAAAGTCAGGTGAAGCAGCTCTGCTTTAAACATTTTAAATATTCCTGTTTAGAGCTATATTTTTCAAAGACTTAAATAAAATAAAATAAATAATATTTTGAACCTACTTTCAAAATTTGCCAAAATGATGAGATTTCCATTTTTAAGGAAATTCCTCCGGCACAATTCACTGTGTGGCAAGATGTAACGCCATCCCCACTTTGGACCTACGTGGGTGTTATAGAAAGGATCAAAAGTTCCAGTAATGTCGGCCTTATCCCAAAAAAGTTTGCCATCTGTCAACCAAAATAAACAACCGTAAATAAATTGAATGGATCAATATTTTAAATATACAGTCTCCAATATTTTAGTACGCTATATAAGATTCAAATAACTATCCAACATTTATTTTTGTAGAGATGCAAAAAAGAAGCGACAAAGGTCCTGCCTCTTGGCTTTATTTTTAAGAGGCCAGACGTCTTGTTTTGTACATACTCAAATTAGTTGTTTTAATGTTTTTTAGTGTTTAAATGTCTATGGAGAGTCTCAGTCATCCAAGTCATGGTTGTCCCAAAGGTGCTTTTTCAGTGTTTAAATTTTTTAAACACTTTTATAATTGTTTTTGTTACTGTTTTAGAATGTTTTTAAGATTTTAATTGTAATATATGTTTTTGAATTGCAAACCACCCAGACTTGTTGGCTGAGATGGATGGCTATAGAAAATGAATGAATGAATGAATGAATGAATGAATGAATGAATGAATGAATGAATGAATGAATGAAT